TTCAATTAAATCAATCTATTAGTAGCTCTTCTTCTTCTGATCATCCTGATACTTCATCCGACTACCAATCACCCAGTGATGATTCTGATAACAATATTAACATAGGATGTAATGATGTTTGTTGTAAACCAGTTAAACAAATTACTGTTCTTACAAAAAATACTCAAGAAGAATCAGCTCTTATTGAATTAATTAGTAAATTAGATGATCCCAAATTAAAACAAAAATATATTGATAAATTAAAATCATTATTAATTCATTCCGATAATAAACCTAAGTTTGATAAACCCATAATTAGTTTATCTAAAACCTTAGATAGATTTAAAAATAAAAGAAATTACATTACAAGATTTACAACAAGAAATCAATCAGATTAAACAAACAATCAAAGAATTACAACAAAAAGATATCAAATTAGAAGATGAAATTATTACTTTAAAACTTAATAAAAGTCTAGATAATTTCCAAAATAATAATCAAGAATCTTCAAATGAATCTGAACATGATTCTGATCCTACTAACCCTGATAATTTGTTATTTCACAACCGATCACACCACTCTCAATCCAACAATCCTAAAGAAAAATGACTAAGTTTAATTAATAAGCTTTACATTCAAAAATGGTATTCCAAAATTAAAATAATTATACATGATTTTGAATTAGAATTAATTGCTTTAATTGATACTGGTGCTGACTTAAATTGTATACAAGAAAGATTACTCCCTACTAAATATTATGAAAAATGTCAAGAGAAATTAACTTCTGCTAATGGTACTCGAATGCATATCAAATACAAATTACCCAAAGTTCATGTTTGCCAAGATAATGTAAGTTTTAAAACCTCTTTTGTTCTAGTTACCAATATGACTGATAAAATTATTTTAGGTTCTCCATTTATATATTTATTATATCCATTCACTACATCTAGTACAGGTATCACTACACATGTTTTAGGCCAACCTGTTACATTTCACTTTTTATCTCCTCCTGAACTATTACACTTAAATCAATTAAAAGACTGTTCTATTTCCCATCAAATTAATCGTCTAACTCGGCATTTAAATTTTCTTAAAGAAGAAATTAATCATAAACGCATTGACCAACAATTGACTAATCCAGTTCTTATTTCTCAAATCACTGATTTCAAATTAAAACTTGAATCAACTGTTTGTTCTACTTTGCCTACTGCATTTTGGCATAGGAAAAAACATGTGGTCACTTTACTTTATATTAAAAATTTTAATGAACGACATATTCCTACTAAATCTCGACCAATTCAAATGAATCATGAATTACTTAAACTATGTAAAAAAGAAATTAATGACTTATTACACAACCGAATCATTGGTCCAAGTAAATCACCATGGTCTTGCTCTGCTTTTTATGTTAATAAAAATGCTGAATTAGAACGCGGTGTCCCTCGATTGGTTATTAATTATAAACCTTTAAACGATGTTCTAGAATGGATTCGGTATCCTATTCCTAATAAAAAAGATTTAATTAAACGACTCAGTCAAGCTGTTATTTTTAGTAAATTCGATTTAAAAAGTAGGTTTTGGCAAATTCAAATTCATCCGAAAGATAGATATAAAACTGCATTTAATACACCATTTGGCCAATATGAATGGAATGTCATGCCATTTGGTTTAAAAAATGCTCCTAGTGAATTTCAACATATAATGAATGATATCTTCAACCCATTTAGTCATTTTTCAATTGTTTACATTGACGACATATTAATTTTTTCTAAATCAATTAGTGAACACTGAAAACATTTAACTGCATTCTTTCATACTATCAAGAGTCATGGTCTTGTCATGTCTGCTCCTAAAATTAAATTATTTCAAACCAAAGTAAGATTTTTAGGTTATGATATTCATCATAATACTATTTTACCCATTAGTCGATCCATTGAATTTGCATCCAAATTTCCTGATGAAATTCTTGATAAAACCCAATTACAAAGATTCTTAGGCTCTCTCAATTACATTGCTGAATTCTACAAAGATCTTAGGAAAACTTGTCAACCTCTATTTGATAGGTTAAAGGATAATCCTCCTCCTTGGTCTTCTGTTCATACATCTATTGTTAAACAAGTCAAACAATATGTCAAGTCTCTTCCTTGTCTTGGTATTCCTACTGAAAATTCGTTCAAAATTATTCAAACTGATGCTTCCGATATTGGTTATGGTGGCATTCTTCTTCAGAAAATTACTCCTCAGTCCTCTGAACAAATTGTTCGCTATCATTCTGGTGTTTGGAATAAAGCACAATTAAATTACAGTACTATTAAAAAAGAAATTTTATCCACTGTTTTATGTATTCAAAAATTTCAGGATGATATTTTAAATCAAAAATTTTTACTTCGTGTTGATTGCAAATCTGCTAAATATGTTCTTGAAAAAGATGTTCAAAATCTTGCTAGTAAACAAATTTTTGCCTGCTGGCAAGCTCTTTTAAGTATTTTTGATTTTGATATTACCTATATTCCTGGTTGTCAAAATTCCCTTCCTGATTTTCTTACTCGGGAATTTTTACAGGGGGGTAAGGGATGACTGCACCATTTACTTCTTACCACAAATCCCGAATTACCTATTTCAAAACCCAGATTAAACAACTTTCCCATCGTATTCACCGCCTCAAATTAGCCCGACCAACTACCAAAAGAGCCCAATATATCAATTAGCACCAACTTCAAGCCCGTCGCAATTTACTTGCTCACAACTACAACTGTTTACACCGCCATCAAGATTATTTAGATCTTCTTTCTGGCTGCTAATCATTAACTCTTGTTTTCACAGATGTCTCGCCCAAGGCCTCATTCCAAGGCTTTGGCCTCATCCTCCAGTAAACCTAATCAACTTATTGTCCCTCCTCCTTTGGAGTCAGTTACCCCATCTTATTCACTCGAAATGGTTAACCGTTACCAAACTCTTGGTACCATTCATCGTCCTGATTATTCATCTGCATTGGCTTCTGATCCTTTTACATCTAGCCAATCAATTTCAGTTACTCCATTCCCTATTAATCCTGTTAAACCATCCCGATCTGAATATACCAATTCACATGTTACTAACCTGTTCTACAAAGAACCCAGTCACCCTAAAAATCAAACCATCAATGACATTGCTAAATTCCATTTTGGCTCTGGATGCCATTTCACCCTTTCCCATCCAGAGAAAACCCTCGCCTACTACAAAGATATTCTAATCAACCACCATTCCATTTTAATCAAGCCAATCCAGGATCGCACCTATGCTTACAAAATCCTATATCATTCCATTTATATTCACAACATTGTTTCCATGGCTGAATGGGGTAATCCTAATCAGCTTCGTGATTTACCTGGTCATTCTATTCAATATAATTACCATCACTACGTTGATGCTTGGTTCAAGATTTTCCTATACCAAAATGAAACTTTCAGTCATTCTTGGTTCATTTCATTTGATCAAAAATTCAAATCTGAGTTACCTACTTGGTTTCTGAGATGGTGGACTCACTATGGCGCCATTTCAGACATCATCCCTGATGATCTTAGTAACATAATTCATTATTTTGCTTCTGTTTACCCATTTTCTACTCACCAACGGCAATTTCCCTTATTACTCATATTTATTGCCAAATACAAAATTCCCTGGATATTCAAATGGCACTATGGGATTGATGATAACATCATCATTCGCCAACATACAGTCAAATAGTGGGTCAAGTATAATGTTCCCAGAATTCTTGAAATTGTTCAAGACGAATTCCCACCTGATCAATGTGCTCTAACTCCTGCTCTTGCTAAAGCCCAGCAGAATCCAACTGCTGCAGTTACTCAAGGAAGTCAGCCTAGTCTTCCTCCAGTCAACCTTGGAAGCCCCTCATCTAGTGGCTCCAAGCCCAAATCATCCAAATCAAAGTCCAAAGCTGTTGCTGCTCAACCAGCCCAATCAAAGCCTAATTCAAAGTCCAAAGTCAAGGCAAAGCCCATTCCACCTCCTGTTCAACCCAAAGGCAAGTCCAAAAATAAATCCCAGTCATCAAAAGAAGACATGATCCAGTTAGCCCATCGACTTTTGGATCAAGCTAAAGCCCAATCCACCAGTTCAGAAGAAGGTTCAGATCAGATCCATTCCTCTGAAGAATCAACTAATCAGTACTCAGGACCCGAGTTTCAAGATGCTCAGGATCCATTTGTATAATCAACATTGGATTCCATATAGATACAAATTAGCTTCAATCACTACTCTTTTGAGAAAAGCTGCCAATTTGTATTATATTGATTCCATTATTCACATGTTCCACCGAAAGTAATGAATAGTAAAAGTTACTGTTCACTTTTACTGTTCACCATCACTATTCACCTAGTCAACTTTTGTTTAAAGCTGTTCAACTGTTCAATCAATCAACCGAAAGCAACCGACAGCATCTGCTTTGCCCCATGCGCTGCCAGCTGCTTCCATCAGTCAATTATTACTTTTCTTTTCTTTATTTTGTATAAATTGTAATCAAGTTGAATTCATTCATCTGACTTAGAAAAATCTGTAATCTAAGAGCTCTGAGTGAAAACCAACACCCTTATATATATATATATATATATATTAATTAAGAATTAATGCACTGTTGAATTAAAGATACAATTATTGAAAATATCTCACATACAATATGATTCCTTTAATCACACTTTTTCCAAAAAAGTGGCAGGAAAGGAAAGTAAAAAGGCTTAAAAAATCAGAATAAATGAAAGGTATCTTTTTATCAATATATTTTCAGAGATAATTTGCTTAAAATTGATTTTTTTTTTTAGGGAACTTCATTACATTTTTAATCATCTTACATTGATCAAATTGTGAAGAACCATTTTAAATTTTGCTAGTTCATATTAATTGAACAATAATATGTTGCCCTTTCATTTCATAAGCATTCACAGGTCAAAAGCCAAAGCAAAATGTAAATAGCTCAGCCAACTTGGTCAAGTTGTTGGCCAAAAAAAAAAAAAAAAACTCTTAAATATCAGAATGTTCTTGACATTTCAATTGAGAATCAATGATCTCGAACACCTAGTCAGTGTCCTTCAAAAAATATTTCCTATAATCTCAATGTTTTTAAATTCCACTATATCTACAACATTAACAGCAGCATGCATCTCTCTCTTTGCATGTCAGTTCATAAACAATATGAAATAAATTTGTAAAACATATTCTCTCTAAATTTGCCTTACCATTGTTGGTAGGGAAAAACAAAAACCAAAATGCAAAACAAAAAACACAAAACAAAACAAAAGCTAGATCAGAGCCTGGTTCGCAATTTTTTCCCCCCAACAAGCTCTTTCACCTCAAGAACTTGCAAGAAAACTCGAAATTTAGGTTGGGGTGACAAAGAAAAATTCTTGTGTACCTCTTCTAACTCATCAAGGATCCCGGGGCAATGGCTGTGGTGTCCACTTGAGATGCAAATGTAGAATTCCCGATTTAGTTCCGTCTATGGGGAATGTGTCGGTGAATTCCCCTTCTAATATAACCCTGGTGAGTGTCATGATGCATCTTCCCATTTTATCCTGACAAAGTGAGTCAAAGTTTGTGTAGTAGAAGAATCAGTAAACAATAATGCTGCAACCACACTTCAAAAATCAGAAAAAATGGTGAGCAAGAAATTAGAAAAGCAAATTTAAACATTATAGGGATTTTCACAACATTATCAACATAATAAAATAAAAATGTTAATTCCCTGTAATATGCTTGACTTCTCATAAAAAAATATTTGTCATTCTTATTCTTTTGTGTTTGTGTGTCCGAAGGTGACATTTTCACAGCATTACACAGATGGCAATAGAATACGCTTGTATGCAAATCCTAAAACATGTAGATTGAACTTCTATTATATTCCACATTGCATAAACTAAACACCAGATTAATCCCTATCAAACAAATGAGGTCACTGAACGAAAGCCGGATTTTCCAACAAAACAAGGAAGAAATTGAAGGGACTAATTGGAGATTACCTTCCCGAAAGTGTCGTGATCATAGACTTCTGTGATTAGTAAATCATGTAACCCATCCTCAACTACAAAGTCAAATGTCTGGTTCCAAACTGGATTCAAGGTGTTATTTACAACCTGAGAATGAGGAAAGAATAGGGTTCAGTCTCATTAGTTGAGTATATAATAAGCAATGTTTGTAAAACCACATTAATAAAATCTCCAAATTAGGGAGGGGACATAAGTGATTGTATTAATATTAGAATATATTCACCAAAGTATTACCAAATTTTTAAAGAAAATAAAAAGAAAAGGTTAATACTTTATACAATGAGTGAATCATATGTTCTTTTGGCTAGCAATTAAGGCTGTGTTTGGATGAATAATTTGAGTAAGGATTTATAGAGGGAAAGGAAAAAGGAAGGGAAAAGTTTATAATGAAAATAAAAAAAAGAAAAGAAAAAAACCTATACTCTATGTCATACGTTTTTCCCATCTTTTTTTATTTCCCTTCAGACATCTCCCCTCAAATCTTTGATTCAAATACAACTTAAAAGACAATACTGATTTTGAGAAAGAAATAAGGAGAAGTAAAATGCTTAACAAATTGAATTTCATTAAGCATTTCTCTTAATACCACTCATTCTTTAAAAAAGAAAAAAAAGAGGAGTTCAATCACACTAAGACAATAAGAATCTTACCCGAGTCTTGTGTTTCTGCTCAGATTTCTTCAGTACAAGCACAACAAAGGGATCCGATTTACCCATTAAATCTACAGCAGGCAAATTTTCGGCAGTTATTACTGTCACAGAAAGAACTCCTCTAACAATCACTACATCCTTTCTCCTCTGAGAGCTAGATTTTGCAATGTCAGCAGCTTCTGTTCCATCATTTCCTGATTTAAGGGCCTTCTCCAGTGAAGTCAACCGGAAGTCGGTGTTAAAAGGATTTGTCAATCCACTCTCTGTGCCGAAAGGACAAAATAAAAGCTCCAAGTGAACCTACAAGATAGAGATGATTATAATTGTCAGAATAATTAAGCAAAAGAAACACTGCTACCGTTACATAATATGCAATTAAAAGACAATACTTGGAATGATCTTAGCCCTTTGATCATCAATTTAATACGTCTCTTCTTGTTTAGATATATGACTTGGTTTGATTTAAAATAATTTTGAATCAAAGGGTTGTTGAGGAATATTAGATAATAAATCACAAAAGCTCGAAGACCTGAGTAATCACACACACAACTGCTCACAAACAACGAATCTAGAACAAAAGCAGATCAAACGTGTGATACATGGACTCTTCTACTTCCCTTAGTATGACAAGGATTAAGGGTGTGGGATATTTGTCCAAACAGTACCTAATTTAGATACTTGAATTCACAATATTTGAAGAAGAAGACGTTTACATTTGCTAGTCAATAAATATTTCTCTCACATGAATGGAAGGTATAAATTTCATATTTTCCCTAAATTCTATTTAATTTGAAGTACATTTCTAAATAATTTATAACGCTATGTAATAATATCATACAATATACAATATATTTGTGTTTAAGACGTGTGCCCATACCAATACCCAACTTTTAGATGCATAATATACCAAAATTTTGGTTTAGGAAGATCTGACATTTGGACACATACCAACATCTGATACTTGTATCCAAGTCCATGTAACATAAGATCAAGTACACAACCGTAGCAGTAGATTATGAACAGTACCCAGATACTGCAGTCTCTTAGAAAGACATCATATAAAGAAGATTCAGTTAGCATGCTCACCTGACCCCTGTCTTTGTTATCCCTCTGAATCACCAAATCCTTGACCAGTTTCAACCACACATCCTTGACCTTACCAGGCTCAAGATCTTTCAGAGCCACATGAGCACAACCAATGAGTTCAGAAGCTTGCACCCCTTCATCATCAAAAACTCTTATTGTCAAGTATTGGGTCGATTCATCTTCAACTATGAAGTCAAAGTGCTCATTCCAGATTGGATTCAACTGATTGTTCTAAATAAATAGTGCAGAGTTACATTAGATCTGGGGCAGAAATAAATAAACAGAATCAACATGATAGAGAAAAAAATGAGTTATCTTACAATTGTTTTGCTAGTTTTCATTCTGTCGCGCACTGGGCGTATGAATATCACTGCGTAAGGATCAGATTTCCCGATGATGTCTTTATTTGTTAACCCCTTGGCTTGTATGAGCTTTACATCTAATGTTCCAACAGGCTTCAACTCAAGGTCACTAAAACGTAACAAAATCATGAATGTGGAGAGCATATTGAGCACATAATAAAAATGGCAATTATTAGTGGATTAAAACAAATCTAAACATATTATTTTGAAGAGAAGCTTCCCTAATGGCGAAAATCTAAACATATTTTTGAACAAAGAATGCTACCATTGTATAAGTACGTATATTAATTTAGTATGATGTATTTAAATTTAATACATATTTGTTGATTTAAAGGAATGGTATTCAATGAAGCACAAATTTGGTGTTCGGACTTACGTGCCAGCACACGTTTTTTGAATCAAGTATGCAAAACAACAATTTTTTTTCTAATTATTAATGCGCATGTTCCGCATATATTTGAATTTAGTACCCATCTACTAAATCATCATCTCACCAATCTGAGAGGGAAAGTTGAGAGGTGAAGAAACAAGCCATTTAGTCAACCAAAAAAGGATTTTTGACAAAAGTGGTATACCTGTAATCCCCGGGTAATATGGGTATAATTTGCCGAACTGGCCATGTAATAGAATCTTCAATAGCATCTCGTATTGTATCCTACACAGAAAAACGACAGTTTCATCAAAGTCATCACATCATCCATAATATAAATTGAATGAATTAAAAAACTGGTTGACAAATACATGATTGAAAAGCAAATTCAACCAGTTTAATTTGTTTGCAGATTTCAGGGAACCATTTACATGAGAACCTAAAAAACCTGTGTACATAATTGTAACTAGAATTTAACCCATATAGATATAGTTAGTTCAGACAGTTAATTCAGTTATATATGCGTGTGAAAGAATTCACTAAAGAAGAAGATAAAATTTCTCTAACCTCAATAGCATCAGAAATTCCAGGAATTGCTGATAAATCCCCTCCAACAACTTTGAGCGTAAAGTCCAGATTTTTCTGTGGTAGAATCATTAGAAAGAATGGTATAGTCAAATTCAAGTGCATAATACTTTTACTATCATTTCTATAATTCTCTTTAGGAGATGTGATAAATATTTGACTTTCTTCACAAATCTTCATGTTTTAGCATATAACAAATACATTAAAAAAAAAGAAAGAGCAACAAGATACAAAGGGCTCACCTTCTCTCGCAAAGAAAAACAAACCGCCCCAAAACAAGGAAACTCATCAACTAGAGGTCTGAAGATTAATCTGAAAAGCCCAGAGAATCCAATGTTTTTGACCTAGGTAAACATAGATAAGCAAAATATTAAGATGACATCTAATAGTAAAATTCCAATAATTCAACATGCTTTACTTTGTTTCATGATAATTGATTTTCCAGTCACTTAGAAATCCTCCAGAGAGAGAGAGAGAGAGAGTGTGTGTGTTATATGTTGTGGGAAAAATTGGATCAGGAAATTTATAAGAAAAGTCAATAAGATTTCTGACAGTAGTTTCATGCTAATCTAATTAGGCAAAAGCAAGATAACCATTTGAAGCAAGATAACCATTTGAGACGGGAAATAAATTGAAGAGCACCTGTATAGGTAATCCAACACCAACTTTGGTTTTAATATCAAGTACGATATTGGGGTTTCCATCCCACTCCATCTCCAACTCCATTGTGATTCCCTTGGCATCACCTTCAAGGATAGAAACTCCTAGAAGCCATATAAAATCAGTTACAACAGACTTGGTAGAAGTCCAACAGTTATAAGAACCAAATCAGGAAAATCTAAAAGTCAGAAGGCCAAAGTGAGAATTGGGTAGTAATTTAGGAGTACACAATGCAGTTTACCCTAAAGTTTAAGGTAGAGAAATATAATCAAATTCTCCAAAAAGGGGACTAAATATTAATTGAACTTTCTTAATTACATTTCGTACATTCTTCCCATCAGGTTGATTAGAAACTTAAGATGATGACTAATTACATTTAATAATTACTAAATTTGAAAATAAAATGGTTCGCAGTAGTAAATTTTAATTCACCTGAGATTTTAGATGCAGTGATCAAAAACAGTGATTTGGGATTTCATACTCACGCCAAAATTCAAGAAAGAAGTGTGGTGAGTTGTTCTCTAACTGAAGCTTTTAATTTTTGCTTGTCACAACTTCTCATTCTCATCACACAAGAATCAGTATTACCATCTTCAAAATCTTAAATATATGTGAGATAGACATAATTAATGAGAAAACTTGTTTGATGTACTATTGTTCAAAACTGTTTTCGGGAACAACCCCCCCCCCCACCCCCCCGGGGGGAAAAAAAAAAAAAAAAAAAAAACCACTTGTTGGAAACATCGAAAAGTTGTTTTGAATTTTGGAAACTGTTTTCGCCAAAAAATGAAAACAATAGTAAAGCTACGGGTGCTTTTGAAATGTTTCTGAAAACATAAAAAACGAAAATGAACAAGCAAACTGAAAACACAACAAAAGCTGAAGTGTGATATTTACATAATTAATCAGGTATTCCGCATTCAGACGAACCTGTAAATTGTGGAGCCACAGTACCAAGAGTCAACTTAGAAAACTTGAGAGAAGATAAGATAACTGGTCTATATTGCTCCAGAATGGGCTCAACAGAACTTCGTATTAGCTCTGAAGCTGCCTATACCACCATGTGTCAACAAATCCAAAGAGAAATAACCGGGGGGAAAAAAACTAGGACTGTCACCATATTGAATCCAGAAAATAAAAACAACATTACAGTTAGTGATGAAAAAACAGAAAATTACCTCATTTACGTATGGCCATATTTTTTCAAGTTGAACATTTAGCCAATTTAACTGCAAATTATCAATAGAAACATTATCAATACAAACAATTATAAGCATCCCTATAAATAGAATTTTTATACATAACAATGTGGCTTTCTGTGTCCTATTTTAAATGAAAACACCCACTACTAAACCAAAACCAAACCAAACCTTAAGTTCCATTTGGCTATATGAATCCTTCTTCTTCATACGGCTCTATCAAAGGCCATTTCGTTAGTCAAATTAAGTATATTTATATCTCTATTTATAACGCTAGCCAATTTTAATTTAGGCTTACCTGGTCCCCTAAAACTTCCATCTATGGTCATTGCATTGCATCTCTTCACTACTGCCTCCATTGGTCTCCATTGAATACGACCAAACCATCTCAATCGATTCTCTCTCAACTTTTCTATCTGTGCTACTTCTACCCATCCCCGAATACACTCATTCCTAATATTTTTTTGTCTAGTCTTGCCACACATCTACCTTGGCATCGTCATCTCAGCCACATTCATCTTATCTACATATTGTTTCTTGGTTTTCTAACACTCCGTATTTGTAATTTCAAAAATGTCACTGCCACATCATTATAGTGAGATTTTCTATATAAAATCTCTGTGAATCATTTTCTCATATATTTATATACATATATATGTATAAACATGAGCAAATCAAAAACAAAAGAAGAATTGTAGGGTTAACTCAACTTCTGTCGATGCGAAAACACAACCCAAGAAGGGTAGAACTCAGCTGGAAGAATCTTTCTCGAATCATGAACTGTCATCCTCGCGAAAGCCGCAACAGTTGCAGCCTAATACAAAACCAAAATTAAATCCAATGAATTGCAAGTTTGATTGAAACATCACAATGTGTATGTATATAACAATGATATGATGAAATGGGTATGGAGAGATGTGAATGAGATACCAAATCCGAGCGACGCTTGGATCGGGTGTTTTCGTAACGAGCGAAACCAACAATCAATCCGATGCCCAATGCAACGCCGAAAACGAGATTCAGGTAGAAAGACATGTTTGTCTCTCCAAAAAAATCTGAAACGACTCAATTGGTTAGCCAAAAAAAACCCAAAAGTTCTGTACCACTTTCATGCATGATCAGCCATGGAAGCATCTAAAACATTATATCGTTATATCGTGGGTGTTTGGGGAGTGAGTGGGTGTTTGGGAAGTGATTTTTATGTAGATTTTTTTAATTGTAGAATATTATTGAATATAAAATTTTTAGTATTTGGGAAGATAATTGAGTTTTTTTGTGATTGGACGTGATGTTTATAAGAGAAAAAATGAAATAATTATGAAATTGAATGTGATATTTTGTTTGAATTTATTTTTTTTTAGTGTTGCAAAACCTTGGTCTTTTAGTAAAAAAATCAAAAAAAAATCTGGAACCAAGTTCCCAAACACCGTTGTTTGGTTGGACAAAAAAAAAAACGGAAGTGATTGAGGGCCATAAAAAACGGAAGTGATTGAGGGCCATAAAAAAAGAAAGAAAAAAAGAAAACAGTTTCCAAAAATGGAAATTAGGGGCATTAGGGGCAAATTTTTTAGGGCCACCAATCATTTTCCAAAAAAAAAACAGAATTTTGGTTGGGAAGTTATGGTGGGGACCAAGTGTATGCATGGGCCCATTCTCTATATCATGTATCATCTATCCTTTTTACACGTGTTTATGCTAAATAAAAAAAATAACTTACAAATAATTTTTTTAAAATTTATTTAAAATATGAATTCTTCCTTATAGTTTGAAAAATTACAAATACTTTATTATTAGAATTTTTTATTGAACATAATTAATTGAAAAAATAAAATTCCTAATTGTTCACCTATACAATAATAAAATTATCTGAATTATTAATTGAAATAAAATTTTAATATTGTTAATTAACTTGATAAATTATTAATAAAATGATATATTTGTTATGAAATTAAAAACCTTAAGGGGCATAATGTGATTTCTAGAATTACAAGGGGTAATTTGTAATTTAGATAAATATCAAGGAGTGTGTTTTTAATTTACCCATAAATAAATCAATCGAGAAATACATGATTGTGGGATTTGGGATAATTAATCACGGCTAATTATTTAGTAATTTCGGAGTATAGATATGTGATATTTTATAACATTGTAATTTGTAAAGAAGGTGGATAGGTGAGGTATTGTGTTGGTGATTGAAAAATATGAGGAGATATTAAATAATGATTGATTAAAAAGTATGTGCACGTGATACTTTAAAAATATTAAATAATTTTCCTATACTCACATAGGGTTGATTTTTAAATTTTTTTACATATTATGAAAAGGCGTGTAAAAATATAAATAAGTGAAGTAATTCAAATAAATTAATAAATTGTTAATTTTTCGTGTTGTTAAAACAAGCCAAAAATAGTAAAAAAATTAAGGTGGTGTTTGGTGGAGTTTTTCAAACATGATTCCACAGCATGATTTGAGTGCTATGTTTATTTACAATTTTCAAAAATTGATTTCACGCCCACTTTTCAAAACACGTCTACTCGGTCATCCTCGTGAACGTTCGGCCGGTTGACCGGAACAGTGTTCTTTTTTTTTTGGCACCTGTTATTTTTATATTTTAAATAAAAAATATTTTGAAAATTTTTTAAAATTTTTTATGAGTTTTGAATAGAATTTTGAATTGTGTGTTTGGTTATGAGTTATAAATATTTTAATCAAATATCATATGTCACATCATTCAATTCAAACTCAATTCAAAATTCATAACCAAACAAATTTTTTACACTCAAATCATAATTTCAAAACTCACAAACTTAAAAAATAACTCTATCTCAAATCATAATTCTAAAATTTTACCAAACCCAACCTTAAATATATATTGTTGCAAATACTAACTTGCCCCTTGTCCCTTCTCCATTCTCTCCAAATACCTTTCAACCCTAGCACCTTTGCAACTACCATCGCAAAGGTATATCCAGTGGTGGTACCCAGAAAGGGTATAAGGCCCCGTTTGTTTTGGGAGGTAAAATAGAGGGGATTGATAGTGAGAGAATTAATAGTGAGGGGATTGTTAGTGAGGAGATTGATAGTGAGGGGATTAATAGTGATGAGATTGATAATGAGGGGATTAATAGTGAGGAATTATTAAATTATTTTTATATAAAATAATAAAATAAATAAAAAATATAAAAAAATAAACATTATATTTAAAAAAAAATTCCCAATATATAAAAAATAAAAAATTTATAATCCCCTCACTATTTTTCTAATACTATCTCTACCTCCTCCTTATCAATCCCTCTTCCTTACTAATACCAAGGGACTATTAACCCCCTCCCTATCTCTCAAAACAAACATCCCATTCTTAATCCCTTCCTCACTATCAAACCTAATTCTTTTTCTATAATTTCAAATAAACGGGACCTAAAAGTAGAAAGGAGGAGTAAAAGGATGAGGGTGGGGTGGTTGGCGGCTAGCAAGGGATGACCTACGGTTAAAAAGGATGAAGAAAAGTTGAAAGGGATTAGAGGTGGGTAGCTGAGGGTCGAGGTGGGGGTGGTAAGGAAGGGTAAGGGATGGGTTGACTCTGCAGAGAAAATAGAGAGATAAGGGAAAAGAAAAGAAAAGAAAAGAAAAGAAAAGGTAAAAATGTAAAAAATTTCATGATTTTATAATTTATTTTTCACCCCTAGTGTAATTAACAAGAAGTTCCTTACTATTTTATAATTAATAATTACCCGAAATCCATTCTTGTGTAATTCTTTTACAATTATACGTATTTGTAAAGAAATCAAACGTTATCTATACTATATATTAAGTAAAATGGGGTTTTTAACCTCAAGGTCTGTAGGAGTTCCAATCTCCTAATCCTAATTTTTTAATTTTTTGATTTAAAAAAAAAAACTTCAGCATTTATTGACTTTTTCCAACCCAACCTCGGCATTTATTAACTTCTCCCAACCTACAATCTCTTTTGACTTCTCTCATAAATATTGCAACACCCTTTTCAATTTTTCCCATATACTATGGTTACAAAAAAAAAAAAAAAAGAATTTAGCTATAGATCTCAAAAAGATATAACATCTAAATTTGAATTATGATTTAATAATATAATTATGTTTTTTTTTTATGTATATCTATCAAAATTTTAAATCACTTAATGAGAAAAATTAATCAATTTTTTAAAATTATTGATTTTTAATTTACAAAATAGATTAAAAAAACTATTGGCTGATTTATTTATTTAATAACAAAAAATTTCATAATCTTTCCCTCCTAATCTCTCTCACAAATTTTCAAAAAAAAATATTAAAACTTGCATTTATTTTCTCTTTCCCAAAAAATCAGATAATATTTTTTATTAAAGTTGTAGATATCTACCTATATTTTATATATTATATTATGACATAACAAAAAAAACTATAAAACTAAAAAAAAAATCTTTAAAGTTTATCTAAATAAATTTTAAATCAATAAAACTCACATGTCTATCACATATCTAACTCACATCATAACTTACCTAAATAATAATAATTAAAAACAAATGGAAATCACAGATAAATTAAATTAAAAAAAAAGATACCCACAACTCCATCTTAAATAAATTGAAAAAAAAATATCCGAATAAAAACCACGAAAAAATAAAAATAAAAATAAAAAGATATATCTATCTATCTATCTATCTATATCTATACTATATATTAAGCAAAAGGATTTTAAATCAATAAAACTCACATGTCTATTACATATCTAACTCACATCATAATTTACCTAAATAATAATAATTAAAAATAAATGGAAACCACAGATAAATTAAATTTAAAAAAAAAAAAAGATACCCACAACTCCATCTTAAATAAATTGAAAAAAAAAATACCCGAATAGAAACCACAAAAAAATAAAAATAAAAATAAAAAGATATATCTATCTATCTATCTATATCTATACTATATATTAAGCAAAAGGGGGTTTTTAACCACAAGCCTGGTGGGAGCTCCAATCTCCCAATCTAAATTTCTTAAATTTTTTATTAAAAAAAAATCTTAGTATTTATTAACTTCTCTCTACTCCCAAGTCTTATCCTCATAATAACACTTTAATGCTTTTAGAACAAACATAATTTTTTTTTTTGAAATCCAACATATATGAATTCCTTGAAAAGTCCCAACACATATGATTATTATCCCTCACAATAACACTTTAATGTATTAAGAACAAGCATAAAAACAATTTCTTGAAAAGTCCAACACATATGGTTATTATCAAAATATTAAACTTTAATATAATATAATAAAAAAAAAGACATTTAATTCCTTGAAAAGTTCAACATATATGATTATTATCAAAATATTAAACTTTAATATAATATAAAAAGGAAAAAAAGAAGACATTTAAAATAAAATAAAAAAGACATTTAAAAATCACAATCTATCTACACTATATATTAAGCAAAATGGAGTTTTTAACCTCAAAGGCCTGTGGGAGCTCCAATCTATACTATATATTAAGCAAAATGGGATTTTTAACCCCAAGCCTTGTGGGAGCTCCAATCTCCCAATCTAAATTTCTTAAATTTTTTATTAAAAAAAAATCTTAGTATTTATTAACTTATTTCTACTCCCAAGTCTTATCCTCATAATAACACTTTAATGCTTTTAGAACAAACATAAAAAAAATTCTTTGAAATCCAACACACATGAATTCCTTGAAAAGTCCCAACACATATGATTATTATCCCTCATAATAACATTTTAATGTATTAAGAACAAGCATAAAAATAATTTCTTGAAAAGTCCAACACATATGATTATTATCAAAATATTAAACTTTAATATAATACAATAAAAAAAAAACATAATAACACTTTAATACTTTAAGAACAAACATAAAAAAAATTCTTTGAAATCCAACACATATGAATTCCTTGAAAAGTCCCAACACATATGATTGTTATCCCTCATAATAACACTTTAATGTATTAAGAACAAGCATAAAAAAAAATTTCTTGAAAAGTCCAACACATATGATTATTATCAAACTATTAAACTTTAATACTATAATATAATAAAAAAAAAGACATTTAATTCCTTGAAAAGTCCAACATATATGATT